GTTATTTCACACTTTTTTGTTTACTACATAATTCCATATGTGTTCATTCATAGCTTTGATGCCTTCAGTGAGAATCTACAATGTAAATAGTCATGAAAATAAAGAAAAAACATTAAATGAGGTGTGTCCAAACTTTTGACTGGTAGTGTATATTCAGAAACCACCACCACAACTTACCACATCTGTAAAACGCAAACTATATGCAAATTTCAATGACGTGCAGCGGTTCATAAGATGTATAAAAACTTCCTGCTTCCTGTCATTGACCTTGGGTCACAACCACCCTTGGCCACATGACCTTTCTTTCAATGCATTGCCTAACTGTCACAAATGTTTTTGTGCACTCTTTTCAATTCAAGCATAAAAACTTGAGCTACCGGCTGAGCCTCTCCCTTAAAGACGGCTTGGAGGTTGTGGGCCTCCTCAGAGGATTATGTAACAAAGAACCATGAGCATCTGACATTTTACTGAAAGGTCAAGATGCAACAAAGTTTAAAAAAAACGTTGAAAGCATTGCATGAAACAGCTAGGTCACTGTAGTGCATATTCCTATCCGCCAGTCGAGGAGTCAGCACACAGCAGTCGACAATGCCAGGGCCCCCCTTCGGTGGCAGGGGCAGCAGCTGCGGTGGTCAGACTCAGCCGGTCAGGTGATGAGTCACTGAAACCTTCTAAGCACAGCAGCAACAAGGGCAGTCAGCTCCAGCTGACCAGTCCAACGGTCATGGCACAAATGTTGTGCATCATGTTGTAAAATGAACCAGGACACCTCGGGATTGTCCTGTTTTTTTTTTTGTTTTTTTTTGCTGACAGTCTTGAAGTGACACACATGACAAATGTTGATCTAAAGTGAGGTAAAGTTCACATGGATTCTGATATGACTCTTCACACTGAGGTTGCAATGCAAAAAAAATCGGACCTGTATCTTATTTGGACCATATATGAAAATTGCCTAAATCAGAAAATATCAGATTCCATGGGATTTGTGCTGTTTACACTGTCTATATGAGCAAAAAAAAATAAAAAAAAACCCCCAAAGGTCTGTGCCTCTTATGCCTGCTGTGTGAACAGAGCCTAAATGCTGTGCACTAGCAAACAGTGTTAACTAAAGACATATAACACATTGTCTCCAGTTACTATGAATCTGGATAGACTATACTGTAATGGCTACTGGATAGGGCTGCACAATAATTATCAGGACAGATAAATTATTGGCTGATAGAGGAAAAGATTATCGGCATAATTAAATTAGAGCCAATAACATCCGTAATGTTCAGAATTATATTATGAATTCTTATGCAAAACGATTGATACTGCCAAAGTACGTTATTTTTTATGAATTACAGGAGAAAAAGTAATTTAACATTTAAAGAATCAGAACTGCTGTTTGTTGTAGCTGTGTTAACAATAGTGAGGTTATGAACTTCTTTTTTTAAATTATCGGTTATCTTATCAGTATTGATAATCTATCCAAAAAATACAGAAAAAAAGAAAGAGGTCTTCCCATAGCTTTCATAATACTCTCAGATGTTGCTTCTTGTTGATCATGTGACCTGTGAAACGTATGTTGGAGTAACAACACAGACTAAAATGCGTATTTTTAACTAACTATGAATTTCCAATGACAACAGCATGTGTCTTTATGAACGCTAACGGCGGCTCCGGGCCAATAAACTCCAGCAGAGCCTCCAACCATCTGTTAAATGCTGACAGATGGCGTCATTATATCATCGATCAGTGTATATGTTTATTTACACACTACTTTACACGACAGGGTTACACCACTGTCCACATGGTCCGCATGTAAACAGGAAGAAAGACCATGGTACACAACAATACTCCTCACACTGCCGCCTTGTGACCAAAGACCGTAACAGCAAGTGAAACTGTGATAACTTTAACGACTATAACAAACCACAGACTTTGCAGTACAAACGTTACTCAAGTACTTGAGTAAATTATCTTCGTTACTTTCCACCACTGAGCGTCAGAGAAGTGTACTGAAATCACTACAGGAATAGTCTACAGCTGATAGACATGCGCAGTCGCGTCATTGCTGCTCGATCAAAGATCGTCGTCTACAACAACAGATGTTATCTCCTTACAGTGTTTCGTGGGCGACAGTTAGCCGCTGTTGCTACCTCATAATACGAGCAGAGTGAGAGCTCTTCCGCCGAGCAGAGGGAGGACGAGCGGAGTGGCAGAGGGAAAATGTCTCCGTTTTCAAAGTCGTTGACATTGTCAGGCAGGAGAATAGTTGCAGCTTGTGTACGGCACCGCTCCTCTCTTACAAGTACGTTTAAACCAATAAATATAGTCTAATGTTAGATATCTACACTGACACGAATGTTCCTGTATTGTAACTGCTAGTAACACATGGCTGTCTCTGTAGTCAGCTAGTTAGCCGGCTACACTGGGTTAGCTGTAACGTTATGTACTGAATAGATACCGAAAACTGATTTAGTCAGGGCTTATCTAACTCAACGTGAACTGCAGTTCTGTGCAACCTTGGGCTGGATAAGTAATAGAAACCCAACAATAACACAATACAGTTCAACATAGTGCAGCGTCTAAAATGACCGTACAGTTGAATCAACACCTCTCTACGACAGTTTAATATAAGCCCTGAACATGATAACCTTCACGGATGTAAGTGTTATTGCAGCACTGTCATAAGACTGCATTAGTTTAAGTGCACACTGACTGGGTGCTATTTGTTTCCATGAGCAACGTGAAAGAATAGTTTGACAAACTTAAAATCACAATTGAAGTTTGTCAGCTGGGTAGATTCCCACCATAAGAAAAGATCTTAATTATGTTAAATGGAAAGGACCTTTTTTATATAAATAATGACACATTAAAGTTGTACATAAAGTCCCTCAATATATGACAGAACTAAGGTTAGTGGTGTCTATGTTTCACTGTTCAGTTACTGTCTCTTATTAATAACCCATGTGTCTGTGTTTTCTGCAGCTGAGCTGATTGAAAACATGGATAAGAAAGCAACCTGGGACCGCTTCTACACTGAGAGCAGCAGTGGGTCAGCCACCTTTAAAAACTTCGAGTGGTTCTTCGGCTTTGACGCTGTCCGAGACTTCATCATGCCCCTTTTGCAGACCAAGTCCCACCCAGATTCTCTGCTCCGAGTGTTGGATATGGGCTGCGGCACTTCTGCTTTAGGGCCCTGTATTTACAGACACTCTCCTCTCCCGGTCCGGGTCACGTGTGCTGACATTTCCCCCGTAGCTGTGCGACTTATGCAGGAACACGTCCGAGCCAAAGCCATTCAACCTCACAATCCTTCTTCTCAGCTCGAGTTTGCGGAGCTGGACTGCACACAGCTTCACAAGCACTATTCTCCTACCAGCGTGGACCTCATAGTTGACAAGGGCACCACAGACGCCTTGTTGAGGTCTAAGGAAGGGAAAGGGAAGGCCGGGCTGGTGCTGAAGCAGTGTTTGAAGGTGTTGCGGAGCTCAGGATCTCTGCTCCAGTTCTCAGATGAGGACCCTGATGTCAGGCTGCTGTGGCTGGAGACTGAGGCACAGGAGCAGGGGGTGATGGCAGCAGATGTTGGGGTGCAGGAGGTCGGGGAGCTGAGGGGAGTGTGTTACTACTGCTACCAAGTGACTCCTCGCACTGATGTATAGCAGGGTCGTAATATCAAATGAGTAAATTATTAAAACACGATTGTAAAAAATGAATGTGGTTTATTTTCTACTCCATCAATGTTGTAGTCTGTGTGAATGAATGTGTGTGTGTGTGTGTGTGTGATGAATCAACACACATTAACTGGATATCAATTTTTAGGGTTGGAAGTGCCAAGATGCACCAGTCCTTCACCCTCTCTCTCATTACTTGGTATCTACTGCCATCTAGTGGCCAGCATTCCAAAATGCAGAATTCACGTACTTATTCTGTGAGAGGTAGTTCACTGTTATTTACTTCATATAATATATGTAGAGGCTGAGAGAGTTCAGTGGACTGCAAAATAAGAAAACATATTTAGAAACATGTATAGAAGACTGATGACAGTTATCCTTTTACTCATTTTGCTGTCTTTAATTTGCAACTTGATTCAATATTTGCTCTTTTCCATATCTGCAGCTCATTTTGTGCCCAACATGTTGTCAAACTACCAGCAGTAACCTAGCATTGGCAAATTCTACAGCATAACCCTCACTCACACAAAACCGGTCCAAATTGTATGTGAAGTGTCTTTGAGTTCCTAGAAAATGACTCTATAAATAAAATGTATTATTATTAATATTATAATATATCTGAAACAACAAAAAGCAACATTAACTGTCTGCCAACTAGTCGGAATAAGGAATAATAGCAGCACATATTTTTTAATTAAATAAATGATTCATTTGTACTAAATTTATACTCAACATAATTTAAAAACTTTATGGTTTTAAAAGTCAAAAGTAGGTGTTTTTCAGGTAGTGTTACATTACTTTATCTAGCATTAGCTCTTAGGGTGACCAGATCCCAATTCAAAGATGTGGGACAAAGACTACGTTTGTGTGGGACAATGTGGGATACCAATGCATCAAGGTAGATCTAAAGAACTTTTAAAAAAATTAAACATTCTATCTCGCCCCTTGCTGTTAACACTACTAGTGCGTTTGCCATCTGGTTGATTCAGTAGCACATAACAGCCTGCAAAAACTTCTCTCAAACAACTCTCCACAGAGGCAGGTGCAAGCACATCTGTAACTATGGATGCTGCCTTTGTACGACCACATGACATTTTCTTTGCAATCTCAGAGTCTGGAAACATGGTCGATGTTAGCTTATTACCACAGTCTTCTGACCTGTGAGATAGGGAGTGTTTCACAGTGTGGTAAACGCTAGTTAGTTCAGCTGCTGTTACCTTATCTGCATTTTAATCTTGTTTGGGTTTTAGCAGGAACGTATGCATAGACTGGGAAGCCTCCTTTTGAGCAACATGTTTTCTGTGAGTCTCGCATTGTCTGTGTCGTTTCACGTTGTATTCACCTCCGTGTGAAACGGAAAAATGACTCAAGCAAAATTCACACAAAACTTTACCAGACTCGCCTTGCACTGGTTTCACCCAGGGTTAGATAGTTTCCCAGTCTTTATTGTAGCTGCATTTCCTCTTCTTAGCCGTACGGGTTGTGCATTCCTCCATTGGTTCTGA